TGACAAACATAAGTTCACACTCTGGAATTATGAACCACACGAAGAATAAACCAGTCAGCAGGAACTACAAACAGCAGAAACTTAACCTGCAGAACTACAGATGACTGGATTATGAGAAATAGATATAAAATAAGTAAGTTTATGGTGCTCAGAGACTTCAAAGATGAAAACGAAATATCAGAAAGAAGCAAGACTATTTTTCCCCAAAGACGGAAGAGATTGAAGAAGTACTAAATATAAAAATTGGCCTTAAAAACTCAATGCATAAGCTAAATCATAGGTTAGACACAATTAATAAACTGAGATATAGATTTGAAAAAATAAATCAGAATGCAGATTCAAGGAGAAAAAAAAAAAACAAGGAGATGGAATATAGGACAGGGAAGTTGAAAGAGGGGAGAATAAACAAAGAAAACCCAGAATATATCCAGAAGCAGGGACCAGAGAAAATGCGGTAGGAGCAGTACCCAAGGAGATGGTCGCTAAGATTCTAACATTATTGGACAAAGATGATCATCTGTAATAGGCGGACAAGAAGGCTAACAGCAGACATCTCAACAAAAAATGAAAGGGGACTTCCCTGCTGGCTCAGTGGTAAAGAATCTGCCCGCCAGTGCAGGAGATGCGGGTTTGATCCCTGATCCGGGAAGATTCCCACATGCCACAGAGCAAGTCCGTGCACCACAGCTACAGAGCCAGTGCTCTAGAGCCTGGAAGCTGCAACTATTGAAGGCTACGCACCCTGGAACCCGTGCTGCCCAAGAGAGCAGCCCCTACTTGCTGCACCTACAGCAAGCCCATGCATAGCAAGGAAGACCCAGCAGAGTCAAAATAAATAAATAAATCTTTTTTACAGAAAGAATAAGAAAGAAACACACTTTCAGACAAATACTAACAGGAAGAATTTACCGTCAGCAAACCCTTCCTAACAGAGCATCTTAAAAGACGTATTTCAGGAAAAAGAATATTAAAACCAGAAGAAAACTGAGATGAAGTAAAGTGAAGTGGAATTGACCATGTTAGTCACTCAGTCATCTCTGACTCTTTGCAACCCCATAGACAGTAGCCCACCAGGCTCTCCTCTGTCCATGGGATTCTCTAGGCAAGAATACTGGAGTGGGTTGCCATGCCCTTCTCCGGGAGATCTTCCCAACCCAAGGGATCAAACCTGGGTCTCTCACATTGCAGGCAGATTCTTTACCATCTGAGCCACCAAGATAAAAGAGATGAAATAAAGAAGTAAAGAGATGAAGTAGAGGTCATGAAATTGACAAACTCATGGGTAAATCAAAACAAATAGTCCTTGTATAAAACTATAAAAATAACAAATTGGAAATTAAAAACAAGGCATTTACCCCCATGTTCACTGAAGCATTATTCACACTAGCTGAGGTACAGAAACAACCTCAGTGTCTATGGGCGAAGAATGGAGAAAGAAACTGGGATATATTCGTGCAATGAAATAGCATTCCGCCATGAAAAAGAAGTAAATCCTGCCATTTATGACACCACGGATGAACCTCAAGGGCATTTTGCTAAATGAAATGAGAGAAATACAAATACTAATACTGTATGATCTTTCTTAGAGGACTGTGTTGGTCATTCAGTTGTGTCCAGCTCTTTGCTACCCCATGGACTGTAGCCCGTCAGGCTCCTCTGTCCATAGGATTCTCCAGGCAAGAACACTAGAGTGGGTTGCCATTTCCTTCTCCAGGGGATCTTCCTGACCCAGGGAATAGAACCCGTGTCTCCTGTGTCTCCTGCATTGGCAGATGGATTCTTTCCCACTAGTGCACCTGGGAAGCCCTGTTCTTTTATATGGAATCTAAAAAAAACAAAACAAACACACAAAAACTTCAGCTTATAGACACAGGGACTAGAATGGTGGTTGCCAGAGATGGGGGTGAGGAGAGGAAGAAATGGGTGAAGGGGTGAAAGGCAAAAAGAAAAAAATGGAAAGAATTTTGTGGCAAATACCCATATATCCACCATTGATATTATGCAATTACTATTTTACAGTACTTGTCATATGTCTATCTATTTGCTGATCCATCATTTTTCTGTTGCATTTAAAAATAAGTTGCAGATAGCAGCAGTTACATCTGAATATTTTATTGAATGTATATAATGAACTAGAGATCAATATTTTGCAGTTCTTGTTTATTATGAGAAAATTTATGTACAATAACATGCACATGTTTTGTACTTTTTCTTTAAATTAGGAAATAACAATAGCTTTGGCAGATAAAGGGGGGAAAGTAATGGCAGAAGAAAGGAGCAAAATTAATGATTTTTCCTTCATACAAAAATTATACTTCCCATATATTCATTAAACATCTAAAAAAAGAAATTAAGTTAGGTAACAAATATGTAACAAAGAATGAATGAAAACAATAATTCCTCATGAAATACTCATAAACTAGTAAAACTGATTTTAAAAAACCATTGCAAGACTGTTGGTGACAAAAATAAAAGTAGAACAAAAGTTACCAATATCAGGAGTAGAAAGGGGGATATTACTATGCAGAGAAAAAAGAAAAGAATGTACTACTGATACAAATGTAAACAGACCTCAAAACATCAAGCTGAGTGATATAACCCAGACACAAAAGTGAACAACTATATGATTCCTTTGACCTGCAAACTTTAAGCATGGAACCAGAAATGAGAATAGCTTTAGCCTGTAGGGGATTGGCAGTCCATGGGGTCACAAAGACTCAAACATGACTTAGTGAGTGAACAACAGCAGCAGAGGATTGAGAGGCTTCATCAGGAGCTTGAAGGAATCTTATACAGTAATGGAAACGTTTCACATTATCATGCGGATTTGTCAAGGCCACTGCGTCTTACAATGAACATCTGTCCAATTCACTGTAGGTAAACTTTACCACAGTTTTTAAAAATCAATAGGATGCAATGTTTAGGCTGAAGCACAAGAGATATCTGAGAGCAGTACTAGACCTCGATAGTATTTTTTAACTCTCCTAGGACTTTCCCTAAGTAGAATTTTTAATTTTTTTTTTTTTTTACTGGGTAAAACTTTCATATGGTTTTAAAAACAAAAAGCATTAAAGACAAACCCAGGAAAACCAAAAAAAGTGAAAGGAAAGAAATTCTCACTCCTGTTTTTGTTTCCCATCCTCCCAATTCCCCTACCCCTATAGGCAATTACTACTCTTAGTTTCTTTTGAATTCTTTTTCAGACTCTCCAAGCAAAAACGAACGCCTTAAATTTTGACTTAGGGTGGTGGAGTCTGAGAAAACATGACGTCAAACCTTAAATATCCTGTTGAGAGTCAGGTAGGCTTAGAACTGTTGTTAGAAAAGTTCACATCAGAACTGGAAATTCTGTTTGACCTGGCCTTCATCCAAACTGGGGTTGTCATGACTTTCCAAAACACAGTTTCCAGGGGTAAAGAGCCTGCCTGCCATTGCAGGAGATGTAAGAGACTGCAGTTCGATCCCTGGGCTGGGAAGATGCCCTGGAGGATGAAACGGCAGCCCACTCCAGTATTCCTGCCTGGAGAATCCCATGGACAGAGGAGCCTGGCGGCTACAGTCCATAGGGTCACAGAGTCGAAGACAACTTAAGCGACTTAGCAGGCACACAACTTGACTTGGAATCCTGGCTCTGCTGTTTCTGTCGCTGTGTGACTTTGGAAACGTCATTTCATCTATTTAGGACTCAGTTTCCTCATCTCTAGGGCTTGCCTGGTGGCTCAGACGGTAAAGAGTCTGCCTGCAGTGCAGGAGACCTGGGTCAGGAAGATCCCCTGGAGAAGGAAACTGCAACCCACTCCAGTGTTCTTGCCTGGGAAAATCCCATGGACAGAGGAGCCTTGCAGGCTACAGTCCATGGGATTGCAAAGGGTCAGACACGACTGAGCAACTTCACTTTCCTCATCTCTAAAATGGGGGATGATAATGCCAGCTTCCCAGTGTGGTTAGAGTTAGGAATGCTGCATATAAGTTAACCCACATGGTGTCGCAGGCATACAAGGCATTCACGAAAAGACAGGGCAGAGGGATGGATCAATGAAAGGCAGAAAGAGGAAAACAAGTCCTAATCCACAGAGCACGGTTTGTAGAAAGTAAATGCTGATTTCACCAACATGCTCTTCACAGAGGAACGAGGAAAGAGCTTTTCCAAACAGGAGCGCCAGCACCAGAGAAGGGGCCTCAAGCATACAGCTTTAAGCCCGGTTCAGAAAGCTCCTTTGGGCTCTGAACGAAAGCAACCCTGGGGATAGGGCGGGTGGCCCTTTCATGCTTAGGGGGGCAAGGCCAGCCTGAGTCAGCTTGTCCTCTGAGCAGTTCAGGGCCCCTCATCTCCCTGCAGTCATGGCAAGGTCACTCTGGCGCATGATCAAGAGTAAACGGAGCTCCTTGCCAGGAAGACCGCACCCTGGAGCCAGAGACGCCCCGCCCGGCTCCCACCAGGGGCCCGTTCACTTCATCCCAAGCAGAGGCTGGTCCTGGAACCCAGGTCCCAGGTGTGCTGTGGGCCCCCACATCCTACGTGCAGGGAGAATAACCTGAACATAACAGAATTTAATTCCTTTCTCCTTGTACTTTGGAAATTACCACTCTTCTCTCTCGGGGGGGGGCGGGGGGCGTGCTCTCTCTGACATGTGTTGTTCCTTTGATTTGTTTCCCTGGCAATAGAGACAGAAGACTGAAGGCCATCAAAAGGAGGTACAGGTTGTTTATTTTCACATCCTGGGGGTGCCGAGGGCTGCGTGAGGAACCGTCACGACTCCTCCGCTCTTTCGTAAATGAGTCACAGCAGAGGCTTCTAGTTTTCCCCTGTTTGGTTTTAATAGCAGGAGAGAGGGGGTGGACCACAACTTAAGGAGCATCTCGCTGCCCCCGGGAGAGCAAGGAGCAAGGATTCTTCTTCAAGGGCAAGGCTGAGAAGGGTATCTGCCTGGCAAGCGGCTTGTCCAGCAACAGTCTTAATAGTGGTTACGGGGCCCTGTGGCCACGAGACAGTGACCAGCTCACTTGTGGGGGCCTCGTGGCTCCTGGATCTGGCAGGGAGGGGCGTCTTCTGCCACCTGGGGTTGGCCCTCAAGCACCTGTCGGACCCTCTGCATCCCTGGGAGGTGTGAAGGGGGAAGTGAGGGTCAGCACAGATGCTGGGCGGGTAGGGACCAACCAGCTGAGGCTGCCGGGGCTCCAGGGGGGGCCAGAAGCGGCAGGGCAGGTTGAAGGATGCGGTCAGGAGGCAAGACCACTCACCCAGGCGAAGCCGGTGGGTCTTGTCCGAGAAGACCAACCGGAACCAGCCAGGCTCTTTGCACTCGAAGGCTTTGCCGAAGGACAGCAGCACCTTGTTCTCCAAAAATCGACGCCAGAGCAGCACCTCCTCCTCAAAGGTGGCCTCGGGCAGGTACTGGGAGGCATGAGAGGAGCTCGGGATGCTCGCCTGCTGGGGGGAGCTTTCTCATCCCCCCACCCCCACCCCCCGCACCTGCATTACCTTCCTCAGGTCAACCCAGATGAAGAAGCCGGCCCCGCGGCTCACGAAGGGGATACCCAGGGCCCGGAGGTCCTCCGAGACATAGGTGTGGGCAGCCTTGAGCCGGGCGTGGTTTTCTGGCAGATACACTTGATTGATCCAGTCTGCGTGGGTGAAAAGAGAAGCCAGAAGATCAACCTCCCATCAACCCTCCACTGTGTCCTGAGAGCCCTGCCCCGCTGGCTGATTGGGGGTGATGGGAACAGTCAGTGAAAAGCACCTTATATCCAGGTACTCGGCCGTTCAGACACAAAGTCCATCTGGACCCAGACCCTCACCAGAGGTGCACCCACTCACAAAGCGACACTTCTGAGTCACCCGAGGCCCAGAGCTCGGTGTGGGCACTGATGAGGTCTAGGGCCTTGGACAACTTCACGTCCCAGATCCTTCTCATTTTTTAATTGACATTTGTTTTTGGTGTCCAGTTCGATGAATTATAACACATATGTATATTTCTGTAAACCAACCCCCCTACCCACAGGCAGGATACTGAAGAGTTAGTTCCCGCACTCCAAAGAATACCCTCATGCTGTTTAAAGTCACATCACTCCCTTCCCTGTAACTGCTGGTCTGTTCTCCATCACTGTAGCTTTTGCCTTTTCCAGAACATTACCTAAGTGGAATCATACAGTAATGTAATCTTTTGAGACCAGTTCCTTTCACTCAGCACAATGCCCTTGTGATGGGTCGTCATGGACTTTATAGCAGCGTAGTATTCCACTGTGTGGGTGAACCACAGTTTGTTTCTCCATTCATCTGTGGAAGGACGTTTGGGTTGTTTCCAGTTCGGGGTGATTATGAATAAAGCAGCTATTAACATTCATGGAGAGGTCTTTGTGTGACCATGAGGGCAAAGACCTCCCTGGGTGAGGAAGATCCCCTGGAGGAGGGTATGGCAACCCACTCCACTACTCTTGCCTGGAGAACCCCATGGACAGAGGAGCCTGGCAGGCTACAGGCCATGGGGTTGCAAAGACACGACTGAGGCGACTTAGCACACACGCCAGGGCAAATATCTAGGAGTGGGGTTGCTTTGCCATTTGCTAAGTGTATGCTGAACTTTATAAAGAACTGCCCAGTTGTCTTCCAAGGGGACTGCTCCATCTCACATCCCCACCAGCAGCATGTGAGAGTTCCAGCTGCTCTGCATCCTCACCAATACTTGATACTGTCACTAGCTTTTACATTTTAGTTACTACAGCAGGTGTGTAGTACCTGGTCCTTATTTTCCTCATCTATAAAACGATGGGGAAATTACAGGAACACCTGCTTCTGAGGATTCTGGGGAGGGATGAATGAGATGATGCATTGAGAGCATCTTGCAGGACTCAATGAATGGTGGTGATTACAGGTAACCTTTCTATCTAAACTCACTCTCTGAACCCAGGAACAGGACCGATCTGCATAGAGAGAGATACTTCCATTATAACAATTTCCCCATAATCATGTCTGCTCTTTTCCCAGTGCTCACAGCTAAGAAGAATGAGTCCACATTGATTAAGTGCCTGCTATATGGCAGGTGCCATTCTAGTTGAATGACAAATTTCACCATCCCTACAAGACAGATTCCATGATGATCCCTGTTTTGCAGATGAGAAACTGAGGCTCCGGGAGGTGAAGGAATAGGCCTTGTAGTCAGGAAGTGACAGAGTGGGGTATGAACCCAGTCTGGGCTCAGAGCCAGCACTCTCAAACACCACCCTAAATTCGTCTTGTGGGAGAAGTATCCACAGCCCCTGGCCAGTCCCTCCCGCAACCTCAAGGGGCCAGGCCCAGGCAGTCACCACGGTCCCGGAGCAGCTGTGCCATCTGATACTGGGTCAGGCCACTGAGGCCGTGATAGCGACACAGGGAGGTCACCGCCGTGGCCACGTCCTGGTTTTCCGTGTACAGCGTGCCGAAGCGGAGCCCAGACATCCCGAAGTCCTGCAGCGGAAAGGCACCATGGGTGGTGGCCAGCCCTCCCGGAGGAAGCCGGCTCCACCTACCTCTCTACCCTCCCGCCTCCCTGACACCCCCCGGGGCCAGCCAGGAACCCACCTTGCTGGTTGCCCACATCACGTGGGTCCTCTGGGGGTCAGGCAGCCTGCGGAGAGCACAGCACGGGAGCAGAGGCAACACAGGCCCGCAGGAGCTCACAGGATTGGTTGATCAAATGAGGAGATGGATGGGTGAACCTGGTTTCATCTCCTGAATCGCTAATTCCTCCACATCCCTTACAGCAGGGGTCAGCCAACTGCAACCCACAGGCCAAATCCATCCTGCTGTCTGTTCTTGGAATTGAAGTTTTATGGGGGAACAGCCACACTTTCACATACATACCATCCAGGGCTGTTTTTATGCTATAATGCCAGAGTTGAGTGAACAACCGTATGACCTGCAAAGCTTAAAATATCTGCCATCTGGTCCAAAAATATTGCCAACCTCTGATGCAGAGCATAGTTCAAGCATCACTTCCTCAAACAGACCTCATCTGACCACCTCCAGTGGACCAGGCCAACTGGGTACCCCCAGCCGATCTTCTGCTGTCTCCACAGACACCTCCTTTTTAATCATCAAATGATTAGCTGTGTATCTAGTTGCTAAAGCTTGTAGAAATACAAGATCCACAAAAGAAGGGCCTGTGTCTTTCTTGTTCGCTGACACATCTCCAGCACAGCACAGTGTCTGGCCTGCAGTAGGTAGCAAGTCCCTGTCTCTCCGAGTCTCACTCTCCTAATTCCACATGCCGTCCACTTGGCAGAGCCTTGTGAGGACCGGTTGAACAGAGTAAAGGAAAGTGTTAAGGGACCATTGACTGAAACCACCCTAGCCAGGCAGGATAACAGTCACTCGTGTGAGTTATCTCACAACAAGAGAGAGACCTTGATGACAAATGTGGAACTGACAAGCTATGGCCTGCCAGAAGAATCCGGGAGCGGCCGAAAGGAGGGAGGAAACACCAGCCCATAATACATCCTTCAAGCCTCCCAGAAACCCTCACGCTGGAGATCATCTCGATTGAGAGATGCTCGTGCTGCCAGGGAGGACCTTGAATTGAACCAAAAATGGGCACCAGCAAGATGACTGGCCAGAGAACCCAGAAAGCTAATCCCATCACCACAAAACCCGAGATATTGAGCCACATGGCAGAGCGGTTCTCCTGGGTCTCCTTCCCCTGCTGCTCTCCTCCCAGGCGCCCCTTCTCAGTTAAGTTTCTTGCTTTGTCAGCATACGTGTCTCCTCAGACAATTCACTTCCCAGTGCTAGGCACGAGCCCACTCTCGGGCCCTGGAAGGGGTCCCTCTCCCAGACACAAAAGGACTCAGAAGGGCTGAAAGGTCTAAACAAACATGGAACCGTCAGACTCCCCGAATGCCAGATGTGCAGGCTGGACAGATGATCTGCTCCAAGTGTTCCCACAGGTGCTTTGCCTACACATGCCTGACTCAAGAATAAATCTAACTTGACTCAAACTGCATCTAAGAAAAAAAGCTCTGAGAGCTGGCAGGGCCTGGCACACGCAGGGGGCCCCAGGAGTATTTGCTGAATGAATGAATGTAAGTAGAGCCACTCTGGAGATGAAGGAAACAGCAGACAGGCCCATTTCCTGCCCTCCCAGCCTTCCCTCATGGAATCCTAAGACCCTTCCTTGAAGCTTTCAGAAACCCCACAGAACGGTTTGAAAACCACTGACTGGCCCAGCCTCCCTTCATCTCGTTGGGGGATCTGAGGACTGCAGGATTAGCAGGAAGGAAGCGGAATTGCCCTGGAGTGGGGGTGGGGGGCTGAGAGAGTCAGTTCACCTTTCCAGGCTCAGGACACTGCGGTACCCAACGGACTCCTCAAACACGGACAGCATGTAGACCTCGTCCACCATCACGTGCAGCTCATGCCTGGAGGGCAGGTGCGGGGAGGTTGCTGGGGGGAGAGAGCTTGGTTTGTTGGCCAAATGCTCCCCCCACCCAGGGTGGGATGGCAGTGAGTCAGAAATCCACAAGGACCACAGTCTAGCCCAGGGTTACCAAACTTGGTTTTTCCAAGAATATCCATCTTTTGTCTATATTCTTTTTTTTTTTCAGAGATGACACTGGGGATTTTGAAGCACTGTGGGGGAAGGCAGAGCCCTCGGGCACTTCTACAGAGGGACACAGTTAGGTGTGAGACAGTTAAGTGTCTCAGACGGTAAAGAACCTGCCTGCAATGCAGGAGACCCAGGTTCAATCCCTGGGTTGGGAAGATGGCCTGGAGAAGGAAATGGCAACCCACTTCACTATTCTTGCCTGGAGAATCCCATGGACAGAGGAGCCTGGGGGGATACAGTCCATGGGATCTCAAAGAGTCAAAAACAACTGAGTGACTAACACTCACACCTGGTTAAGTACAGACAGACCCAGATTCACAGCTGGCTCTGCCCCTTACTCTGAGGCTCAGTCAACTGGGATAAAGACAGTATCTGCACCTAATAGCACTGCTGAGAGGATTACATGAGTGAGAGCATGAGGGGTTAGCAGGGGCCTGGCCCCTACAGCGGGCAATAAATGACACTTGTTATAAAAAAGAGAGAACTTGCATCCCACCAGAGAACTGCTCCCCGCCCCTGCCCCCGACTTTCCTGCCAGGAAGGGTGAAAGCAGGCAGAAACCTACAGTGGGGTCAAGAGGGCAGCAGGCACTACACGAAAGCTCACATCAGAACCCTAACCTGTCACAGGCTTTGTGGGGCGAGCGTGGCGCACCTCACCTCTTGGCAAACTCCAGGTACTCCTGCAGCTCCGCTGGGGAGTAGACGTCACCCAGAGGATTCTGGGGGTTGATGAGGATGAGGCCTTTGACCTTCACACCCTGCAACATCAGCAGGGCAGGAGGCCCTCAGCTCCTCCCCAAGGCCACAGAGTCCCACCGGACCAGCCGGGCACCGGGCAGGATGCTGGGGAAATATGTTCACCACCCAACATGAAATGAAGAAGGGCAAAGAATTATATCTGCCGCATCGTATCAGTTATAAAAGAAAACAAATGCAGAGACCAAAGCTCAGAGGGAAAAACGTCCAAACACCAACAAAGCTTGCCTTTGTTGGTAGAAATACGGGTGGGGGGGGGTGATTTTAAAATTCCCACGGTGGTCATGTATGACTTTTATGAACAAGTTTAAAAAAAAGATAGATTGATAGATTTCTGAAAAGGGGACTGGACAGGAACCACTGGTCTCTGCCATTCTTCAGGAGGCCTCAGATCCCCTCAGAGTGAGGGGGCTACCCATTCAAATCACCAGAGAGATCACTGAACCACAGACTTGTGAGCTCCATGCTTGACCCACTGAATCGAAATCAGGCAGAGTGGCGGGTAGTGTTTTCAGTCAAGCTCCCTGGTTGATTCTTTGTACACCAAGAGTCTCAGGGTTTTTCTCTAGTGGGAAGACCTCTATGGGCAGGCTCCTTCTTGGCCCCCAGAATGGTTCCATGCTACCACCCTATCCCCATCCCCCACATAGAGTCCCAACCCTTCTCTCTAGGAGATCGGTCCACAGGAAGGGGGTCCCTGCCCTGCTCAGACCCACCCACTTCCAGCCTTAGGTTTATTTTGATCCCCAGACCTCAGAATTAGCTCCCTGCAGGGCCATCTCCAGCTTCTCCACTGTGAGCTGGAAGGGGCGTGTTTCCAGCCCAGTGACCTGAAAAAGATCCACAAAAGCCATCAGCCAGATTCACTCACTCCACTCCAGACCTGAACTCTGGGGTCTCACCTCCCCGCTGTCATCTCCAGCCTCCTCTTAGACAATCTCAGAAAACACAGGGTGTGCGGGGTCACTCCCTTCTCACTGCCACTCACACATCACATCAGGGCAGCCTCACAGCTCTTAGGTTTGGAGAAAAGTCCCCTGAGGTCCTCTGATTGGGGTCCCTGGGCTTCCATGTGGAGCTGTGCTCTGCCCTGTTCTCACCCCACCACTTCTGTGTGGTCTCCCTGGGATGCCCTTGGCTTCTACATGGACCCCAGGGATCTCAGAGCTGGAAGATCAGATGTCCCCAGGGCACCCAGGCAAGGGCAGCCATGGCCAACAGGAGACCCCATTCTCCTTCTGGCCATAATACCAGAGCCCGCGGCATGGACTTCCTCTCATGACCACCGTCAAATTCAGAAGCAGGAACATCCTGGCCTACAGGAAGGTCCAGGCCCACCGGGGGTCCCAGGAACTCTTACCTCACTGTCCAGATAGACATAGACCAGTCGGACGTTGCCATAGAGATACACGTGCTGCGTGATGGCTCCATAGTAAGGCGCAGGGATCAGGAAAGCCTCTGGGGGCAGGAGTGAGCCAGGGCCTGTCACCCTCTGGCCAGGATGCCCGGAGCCCCCATCCACTGACTTCTCCACGCCTCTCCAAGTCTTCAGTGTCCTTGGGGAATATGCTTCCTCTCTCTCAGCTCCCAAAACGCTTTCTAAAGCTTGGATCCACTGAGATCAGTCCCTTTTCCAATAATTAGTAGCTAACATTTATTGAGTACTTACTCTGTGTGGGGATCTGTGCTAAACATTTTTTAATCTCATTTGATCATCACAGCCACTCTGTTATTGTCTTAACTTTACTGATGAGCAAACTGAAGCTTAGGTCCCAGCATAGGACATGCTGGGTCACTCTGAGGACAGACTTGGAGCCAGGAGTCGAAGCTGCAGGGCGTTGATCCGGGTTTGACAAATGGAAAAACTTGACAATGGCTAGAACTGCCCAGAGACAGAACGTGCTGCTTCTGGAGGGGTGAATGCTCCACCCCTGGGGGCACTGAAACCAAAGTCTGAGACCGCTAGAGCAGGATGGGGTGTCACGCAGAAGACTCTCACTGTGGACAGGGGTTGATGAGATGATGTCCAAGGTCTGCTCTAATGCAGAGGTGAAGGCACTGCCCCGATTCTGCAGCAGTCACATCGGTCAGGCTGAGCTCCTCAGCTTTCCCTTCAGCACAACCCACCCCCCAGCCACAATTCCCAGCTCTGGAAGGGGTGGCCTCTGTCCTACATGTCCCCTCCGCTGACCACAGGGACTGAACCAGAGGTAGACAAATGACCCCAGGAACCAATGCACCAGCTGGCCAGACACCCATCACATTCTCTCTGTCTCAAGACTTTGCTCCAAGAAGCAAAGACCCTTGTGAGATGAGAATGAGCACTTGAAAACAGAGGTCATGCAGTCAGAGCTGGGCCAGCAACCCGGGGCCCTACAGAGCTGAGGACGGTCCAGAAGAAGAGGAGGGAGGGGGACCACACACATCAGGGGTAGACAAAGTGTGTGCTTCTCCAACTCTTGATTGTTCTCAAACTGGTAGGAAATTGCCTGTTACATCCTTGCGATGAATCTCCCTTTTAGGCTCAAAATATTACATCTCTCTGTGTGATTCTGACAAGTAACTCAACCCCGTGGGCCTTAATCACCTCATCTGTTAAATGGGAACAAGCCCAGAACCTATCTCATTGAGGTTATAGTGGGGATTAAATGACAGACTGTGCCTAGCCTTAGACCAGTGCCTGAAACCTAGTATGTGGTCAATAAATGTTACTAATAGTAGTTTAGAAGTTAAACTACTGTGAGCGGGTCTCTGTTCCTGGCAGCCAACAACCCTGCCCATGACTATGGTCAACATGTCCTGGAAATGACCATGGCTCTTGCAGCAGGTGCTGCTGGCTAGCCAGTTGACATCCATTCCTAAGAGAGCACACAGATTTTTCAGCTATGACCAGCAAGAAATCCAAGGAAAGTGGACCTTCCCCCAGACCCTGGGGATGAAGCAAGTTCGGTTTAAACCAACCAGGGTTCTCCTACCCTTCGCCAGGGACTGCTTTGGGAATGGGTTTGTGAGTCCGTTCTGGCCAGAGAGATGAAAGGGACTCTCCTGGAAAAGAGTAGGCCCATTTCCTCCCTCCCTTCAGGAAAGAGACAGGCAAAGCACAGCCTCCCTCTCTTCCTACTTCCGGACACGCTGTGACGTGAGGCTGTGAGTGCCATCGGTGAGCAGGAGGAAAAGCCGAGGTCGTCACAGAGGCACAGCCCAGAAGCCTGGCATCACCTTGATTTCCCCTGGAACTGCCAAGCCCTGCTGTCTTGTCAGGGCACTTAGTTCAGCCTCCCGTGGTCTAACAGTTTATCAGGGTAAAAGCATCTGATGCAGCCCTCCAGGCCCAGCAGCCAGGGTTGGGGAGGCGGGGAAAGGGACTGCAGGCCCAGGGCCAAGGTCTACTCACCCTCCGCCTCACACAGCACCGTGGCCAGAGCAGAGAAGAGAGAGGCAGAGCCGTTCAGAACAACCACCTGCGGGCAACACGTCCCCGGGACAAGATGAGTCCGTGCGGGAGGGAGCACGGGCCTGCAGCCTGTATCCCGGAGGGCACAGAGGCAGGGGAATGCGGGGGGCCCTCCTGGGCACAGCCGCAGCAAAGCCACGGGGGTCCCCGCAGGCCCCTCCTGACTAACAGCCAAGTCCATCTGTGTGGCTCACTCGTGGGGACGCTGTTCCAGATCCACTGAGCAAGCAAGAGGGAGCTGGTCACTCAGAGAGTCCGGCCCGAAGGTGTGGGGGCAGAGGAGCCGCAGAACAGAGCAGGGCAGAAGTTATGCTGCTGCTGCTGTTTAATCGCTAAGTCACGTCTGACTTTTTTGTGACTCCATGGACTACAGCCCACCAAGCTCCTCTGTCCATGGGATTCTCCAGGCAAGAATACTGGAGTGGGTTGCCACGCCCTCCTCCAGGGGATCTTCCTGACCCAGGGATCTGGAAGCGTCTCCTGCCTGGCAGGCGGGTTCATGACCACTGAACCACCTGGGAAGTCCTGCAGAAATTATACCTAAACTCTGAATATCTAGGATGAGGGGAAAGAAGGGAGGAGGGTCTCCCTAATTTCTATACCAAAACTAAGTGACCCCACCTGAGCCCTGGCGAGCCAAAAGATGGGGAGGGAGCAGAAGAGGAGGAAAGAGCAGAAGAGGGGAGTAACTCACGTTCTCCGGTTTAAGGGGTGCGGGGCTTCTGCAGTAGAAAGACAGGAACCTGGCCACTTCCTCCCGGAGGCTGGAGATTAGACAGACAAATGGCAGTGCTTATCAGAGGGGCTTGAACTCCTCCCTGACCCCGTCCATCCCAAAGCTCCTCTGGTGCATCTTCAGGCAGCTGCCATCACCCTTTTCTGCTTCCCATGAGGGGAATACAATCAGTATCTGTCTCCAATCCTTGGCACCCACCTCTCTCCTTGGCCCCAACACTATCTACATGCATCGAAACTTTCATTCCAGTAGTTCTAGGACACCTGACCTACCTAATCAGCAGACTGTAGGAATATCACAAGTAACACTCTCTATGTAGATCTAGCTAATAGTAATCATAATAATAACACATTATCATAATAAAATATATAATGTATAACAAATAATTATTATAACAATAACTATTATCAGAGTTATTGCTAACATTTACAAGCATCTACCTTATGCAGATGTTAGAGAATTTTCCTTAATCTTCATAACGCTCCTGTAACTACTATTATTATTCCCATTTTACAGACAAAGAAACTGACACTTGAAGGAATTAGGTCATGTGCTGATTAGTGGCAGAGTCCACACTCAAGCCCAGTGTTCTGACTCTAGGGCCACTATCCTCATTATTACAAGAGCAGGTGCCTTGGAATTACCCTTGGATTCACTCTTGGAATCAAGTCCTGCTCCAGCAATAAATCCTTAGGACAGCATCTGGGCCCTAGTAAGTGCTCAACAAATATAAGGGCTTATTTCATTTATCATCTCCCATTTTACCAGCAGCAGAAGTCTCCCAGCTGATTGTGGCTCCTCTAAAGCTACGGAGAAGCTAGGAACAAAGGCTCCTGACCTGAAGGCCTTCCCCGTGCCTCAGACTCAGAGAGACCAGGCCTGGGGGCCTCGGAGCAGGGCGGGACAGGCAGGAGGCACCAGGTCTCCGCAGATGCTCCAGGAGACCCCGTGACGGCCCGCCCTCCAGGACCAGGCCTCAGCCCAGGGCAGGCTTTCTCAACCCAGCGCTGTTGATGTTTGGGGCCAGATCATTCCTTGCCACGGGGGCGGGCACTGTAGGAATTCTAGCAGCATCTCTGACCTCTACGCAGTAAAAGTCAGCGGCACCCCCTCCCCCAAGTGTTTCCCGATGTCGCCACGTGTCCCCGGGGAAGCAAAACCGCCCTGAAGGTGAGAACCACTGGCCCACAGCTCCTACTTACAACAGATGTCCCCTCCAGTCAGGGTACTGCAACAGGGATGGCTCCACCTGCAGCATGTCGCTCTGACTCAGCTGGGGACAGAGAGGGGAGAGCAGGATTAAGCGCCGCACACCTAATGGGCACCCGTATCCACACAGCACCGGGGCCTCTCAATCCAAGGGCTGCTCATCAGAAAAGCCAGGACCGGGGCAGCCCAGGGATAGCATTGTCATGCCCATTTTGCAGATGAGGAAACTGAGGCTTAAAAATGTCAGCTGTGGGAATTCCCTGGCAGCCCAGTGGTTAGGACTCCTGGCTTTCACTGCAGCAGGCACAAAATTCCATCCCTGATTGGGAAACTAAGATCTTACAAGTCATGCAGCGTGGCCAAAAAAGTCTGGTGGATAGGCAATGGGACAGTACTAGCAAGTGGCAGAGCTGAGATGAAACAGAATTTCTGACCCCTAGTCCAGTGCTCTTTATACAATACGCCACCAGACAAAACCAGAGGGTGGATTTGTGGAGGCGGTGGAGGAGACCTCGATCCTCCGTTCCTCTGTGGGGTGACAGAAAAGGCCCCAGAGCTGGGTGCCCTGTTTTGGTCTTGGTTCTAAGTCCTGGAGGGACTCAGGCTACTGCCCTCCTGCAGCCTCAGCTCAACCTCACACTTGGGAAAATGCAGCCATTTGCAGATCACCTCCACTGCCCCGGTGCTGGGTTAGGGACTCCCACGGCATCATGCCCACAAGGTCAAGAAAGGCAGGAGCCGAGGGAGGCGGAACAAAAAGGGACAGAGGGAATCGGTCACGTGTCCATAACGCCACCCTCTTCCCTTTCTCCCTCCTTCCTGAGAGCCACGCTGTCCAACACAGAGGCCGCTGGCCACTGTGGCTCCTGGCTCCTTACGTGCGACTCTCCTGAAGTGAGACACTGGATTCTGAAGACTTATATGAAGTAAGTATGTGAAATATGGGGCTACCCAGGTGTCTCCGTGGTAAAGGACCCGCCTGCCAATGCTCGAGTTAGAACCCTGGATCGGGAAGATTCCCTGGAGGAAATGGCAACCCGCTCCAGTATTCTTGCCTGGGAAATCCCATGGACAGAGGAGCCTGGCGGGCTACAATCCATGGGGTTGCAAAAGAGTCAGATACAACTTAGTGACTAAACAACAACAATAGCAACATGTAAAATATCTCATTAATAATTTTTATATTGATTACATGTTGAAATGGCCATATCTTATATATATTGGACTGCATAAAATACATGATGAAAATGAATGTTACCAGTTTCATTACACTTGTTTAACAGAAAAATTTTAATTGTATATGTGGCTCACATTTTATTTCTACTGAATGGCACTGAGCTGCCTTACAGTGAGGAGATATCTTTGGGTAGAACAGGCTTTTCAAGTCCACTCCCTATACCCCTTTCCTATCATGGCTCAGATGTTCCCCTTTGGAAACATGTTCCTTTGGGTTAAGTATCGCTCTCTCCATAGCCCCAGACTCTGACTCCTAGGCCTTGAGAGACAGGTAGTTCCAGTGGTTTGCTAGACATGGCTCTCACTAGCTCAAGAAATCTGATTATTCTGTCTATACGTGAGTGGGCAGGGAGAGAGAGGGGAAGGAGCAAAATAAGGGTAAGGGATTAAGAGGTCCAAACTACTAGGTATAAAATATGCTACAAGGATATACTGTACAATATGGGGAATATAGTCAATATTTTATAGTAGCTATAGATGGAACATAATCTTTAAAATTTTTCTTAAAACAAAATTAAAATTTTTTTAAAATATTAAAAAAATTGTGCATCACTGTTATATACCTATAACTTAAATAATACTGTATAGCAATTACACTTCAACTTAAACAAATAAAATCATCTAATTATTACATTTTCAGCAATTTTTCAAAATGTGCTAAAAACCAGTCATTTTCAAAAATGAAATTATATAAACTATCTAGAAATTATGTAAGTCAGTCATAGTAAAAACAAAAGTAAAAACATAAGTAAAAATCATAGTAAATCAAATCATAGTAAAAACAAAGGGAAAAGGTACTCAAACAGTACTGCTCATGGTCGACATCATTCCATTTCGCTCTCATCTGCTCTCCAGGGGTTCTTTACATCCAGGTTGTCTGCACGGCGGGACCACCACGTGATGTGCCCTGCACCTCTCTTCCCAGAGCTGCGTGCAGTGACGGCACAGCACGACCCTGAATCAGCCAGTGGGGTATGTGCACTATGGGACTCCACAAAAGCTACAGATCAGGACTTCTCCTGCCCCAGGGCCAGTTGTTAAATAGTGACCACACATCACTGAGTGTCTCCGCCTGAGAGCAGGGACCCAGCCAGCAGGAGGGGCTGAGGCGGGAAGCAGCCAGAAGCGGAGAAGCAGCAGAATCAGAGTCAGGAAGTAACTCGCCCCAGATGGCAGAGAACGTGGTCCCCAGGGCAGAGCGGGGCCTCCTGACTCCAAGGCCGGGGCAACCGAGGCAAGCAGCCAGCTCTCCGGGGGGATTATTCCAGGGAATCCCAGGGAAGACAGCCCCTCGGAGCTGGGGATGCCACTCAGAGGTGCAGTGGGACTTACCCGTCTGGACAGCAGGTCAAAGCAGAGTTTGTTCTCACTGGTGCCCAAGTTAATGATGCCCTGGAGATGAGAGGTACAGAGCCACGTAAGCATAGCAGAGGGTGCCAGCAGAAGGCTCCAGGAGCGCACGAGGCAGCAAGGTGGAGCTCTACAACCTCGACCTTCCCACCACCCCACCCAGTCTTTGCTCAAGCGCTGCCCTCCACAGGGTTCCCTGATCGTATCTCCCCATTTCTGAAGCTCTGTGCAAATGCCTTCTCCTCCAGGAAGCCCTCCTTAAAATCCCATCTGCATGGGGATCTTTTCTACTTCAGGACCCCAAAGCACTTTAGCTGTCCCCCTTGAGAGCACTGGTCAGTTTCCACCCCAGGTCACAAAGACTGATGTACAGGCTAAGTCTCCCATACAAGATGGGAAGGTCTCTGAAGACACCACATGCCCAAGACACACACTGAATCTCTCACGAGGCTCAGTTCACAGGATGAGAGAATGTGCTCACAGTAAACTGGTGCTCTGGCAGGAACAGGAAGAAGGGTGAATATGCAACAAGAAGAGGCCCTGGGCTGGTGGAAATTCTCCCTGGGATGGGGACCCATGCCACATTACACAGCATCCAGATTCCAAACACATAGGTACTGTTTTCATAGTACAAGGAGGAGGGCAGGCACAGCTCAAGTTGCCCCTTGTAGAGTCCCTGAAAAGACTCACGCACAGCTAATTCCTGACCCCTAAGTTATTAGAGGGGATGGGGAAGGAGGGAGAATGAAAAAGTAGAGCTTCAATGGGCTCAGGTTATGAAAACTAAAAGGCAGTGCTTCCTCACGCCCTGGGGAACAAACCTATAGGATCTTCCCTACAACCAGTCCATCACCGAATCCTGTCACTTGTGCCTGCAGATACAGGCACAGTCCAAGCAGTTCTCCTCCACTGCTAAGACTCTGGCCCAAGCCACCAGTCTCTCTTGTCTACATTATTGCAATAGCTTCCCTCCTTCCTTTCCTGATCATTCCCTCATCTCCATTCTCCCCGAGCTGAACCTCCATGCAGCAGTCTAAGTCTAAGTCATCTTTTTAAAAGAAAAATCAGATCCCATTGCTCTTCCTTTGAACCCGTTCCATCCCATTTAGTCTAAAATCAGAAGCCTCACCATGTCCCACGGGACCCTACAGCCCTAGTACCACCCCTGCCCCCATTTCCTCTCCGACCTCATGCCAGCCTCCAGCCAGTAAGCCCCTCTGCTGCCCCCTGAACTGCTCTGGGGGCTTTGCACTGGCTGTTCCCTCTGCCTGGAATGCTTTCCCCCAGAGACCTACAAAGCTCACTCCAAGACAGCCCTCGGTGACCCCTACCTCCTGGTGTGCAGGGCCTTGCACAATCCCTTCTCCTGAGTGTGGGTAGACCGAGTGACCTGCTTCTAATGAACAGAACATGCAGAAGTGATGGGATGTCACTTCCCAGACTACGTTACAAAGAGTCTGTGCCTCCCACCTTGGGCACTCCTGACCTCTCATTCTCTCTTCCTCTCATGGCTCGCTTGCCCCAGGGGAAGCCAGCTGCTGTGGCTGGAGAAGACCATGTGGGGAGGAACCGAGGCCTGCCGATACCCATGTGAGTGAGCTTGGAAAGGGATCGTCCTCCTGCCCACTCTGTGATCATGTGAGTGAAGCCTGGAAATGGACAATTTCCCTGCCCCACCAAGTCTACAGATGAGACCACAGCCCCTGCTTCATTGCAACTTCCCAGATCTTCAGCCTGAAGCACCACCATGATTCCTGAATTCCAGAAACTGTGAACTGTTTCTTTTAAACTGCTAAGATCTGAAACACTTTGTTACACAGCAAGAGATAACCAATATTAGCATATATATATATATACTATATATATATATGTATACACATGTATATGTATACATATATACATTTATATATATATGATATATATCATATATTATATTATATATTATATTACTAGGTATTACTAGTATATATATAATGTATATTATATAATATACATTAGTGTATATAATATATATTATATAATATATTATGCTATATAATATATTATACATTATAATATATTATATAACATATTATATTATAGAATATATTATATAATACATAAATAACATATTATATATAAAATTATGTTATATATGTTATATATGTGTTATATATAATATATTTATAATATATATTATATATACATCATATAGTATAATATAGATATTATATTATATATAAATAGTATAATATTATATATATTATATAGCAATATATACTATAAATATAATATTTATATATATTAATATTATAATATATAGCATAATAATATATAGTTATGTATTTATATATAATTATATATAAATAGATAATATTATATTTATTATGCATTATTATATAATAATATATTATATTACATATTATATAGTATAATACATATTTTATATATCTATATATTATATATAATATAAAATATATAATATAATATAATTATATTATATATAATTATATTATATTATATATTAATACATTATATCATATATTATATATAATATAATACATATAATATTAAATAATATTATAAATTATGCTATAATAAATTATATAATATTGTTATAATTTTATTATAATATTATAATTTATTATAGTTGCTATAATAATTATAATAGTATGGTTTTGTTATTATGAATTATTACTAATAATTCATTACAATTATTATAATTTATAATTATTGTATTATTATAATATGCAATTATTGTGTCATTATAATAATACATTAATAATAATAGCAACTACCACTTATTGAATGCTCTATGTGAAGCACTGTGCTAATAATTGATATACCTGATAACATTTAGTTGTGACAGTACAGAATATACCAGGTATTATTACCCCAATATAGAGATGAACTGATGTTCAAAGACTTTAAGTAGTTAGCTCAAGAATATACAACTTGAAAGTGAAACAGTTTCAGCTTGAACCCTAGTTCTGTCCCAGCTCTAAAGCTGAATAGTTGGGCTGTGGATCAGAAGCCATATAAGAGCATTCCATGGTTTTTTAATTCCTCCCCCACAAATCAAGTTTCCCTTAATTATAAGTGGGCCATTTTCTGATTCAGGTAATATTTTGGGGCCTCTCTAAGCGACACTGCAAACCCCGCTGGAAGTCAGAAGTCCATAATGCTAACCTGACAAGAGCAAGCTGGGTGTTGCCTTATCGCTGAAGGTGGGGTACCCTCCCCCAGCTCTCTCTTGGGTCCCAGTGGGGAGGGGGGCATCACTCACACTAGGGTTCTTATCCTCATCATATTCGTCCATGTGGTAGGTCATGTAGCCCTCCTCAGCTGAATCCCAGAACCATTTAATGACGCTTCCTCTAGAGGACAGGTAGGGGCTGCTGGAGCAGAACATGGCCGTGGGGTCACCCACTCCATAGAACTTCAGTGGCTTCTGGTCTGGTTTTCTGGAGCATTCTCTTTCCAGACCATCTCCCTTGTTACCGGGCAGGCCCTGTATGGAGTCTGAACCTGGACAGGCAGTAGTCATCCTGGATTCCTTCTGAGGGAGGGTGGACATCTGCAGAAAAACAAAAGCATTCAATCTCTGATCTGATCAAGGACCTTCCATAGCACCAAGCATCAAAAATGAACTGGGGGGACTTCCCTGGAGGTCCAGCAGTGAAGACTTCACTTTCCAAAGCAGGGAGATGAGGGTTCAATCTCTGATGGGGGGGGCCTAAGATTCCACATGCCGTGTGGTTTAAGAAACCAAAACTTTAACAAAAAATAATAATATAACAAGTTCAATAAAGACTTAAAAAGTGGTCCACATCAAATACAAAAAATCTTTTAAAAAATGAACTGGGAGTCATGGGGCCCTCCCCCTTCTCTATCTCCCCTTCTTTTAAGTTTATATAGTTATCACTTCCTGGGTCCCCTACTAGTTGTAACCATGTGTGCAATCGCTTCAAGGCATCAACCCTACTAAGGATTTACAGGCAGAGGGTTTATTTGTTACTGTCTACAACTTTAACTAATGGCCGCTTCGGCTTGATTTACTTTTGGAGAAGTCTTTGATTCTGCAGGCTAAAGTGTCACCAGCTTCTTTTTTCCCTTCTTGCTGATCTCAACTAAAAAAAAAAAAAAAATTAAAATTTTCTGACTTAGAGCAGAAAGGGCCTGGAGTCCATGGGTCTTGCAGTGACTGATGTGAACAGGAGTAAAGGATAGGATGAGATTACTTGGTGACTTGGAACAGACAATGGATGAGGCCTGAGAGGAGGGAAATGGGGGTCTCTGCAAGTGCAGGGACCCAAGGCAGCGCCTAGAATTCCATCTTCACTCCCAAAGTGGGGCAACTCTGGCCTCAGGAAGAGGCTGGTCTGATCCTGAGCTCTGATGTGAACTCCACTTTCCAAGCCAGTGTCCTCTCGGGCAAAGTGGGTGTAACCGTAACTATCTCATAAGGTAGCCCTGGTGAGGACATAAACATATGAGTTAGTGTAAATGGCTTAGGACAAATCCTGACTCAGGGCCGAAGTTCAGTAAATTATGTTTATATTTATTGTTATTATAAAACTCCCTGCCAATTTCCCTAGTCCTGATGACCAAGCCTCATAACACCCGATGATGGGGGACCAGCCAGCGGCTCAGAAACACAGCGGGGCTGCCCGGGTTAAATTTTGCTCCATGAAGTCATTTCTAGGTCCTCCCCCAACTGACTGGGCCTCCTGAGCCTTAACTCGGTTCACGACCCCACACCCCACCCCACCCCACCCTCCTTAATCCCCCTCCCCGCAGCCTTGGACCGCGGAGAGTTCAAAGCCGTACACCCACGTGGCCGGCCTCCAAGATCTGCGAGAGGGCGGCTAGGGCGGGTGGCAGAGAGCAAGGCAGGACAGCAAGCGCCCGCGGGAAGAGTCAGCTCCTGGTCTCCGGGAGGAAGTGAGAGTTGGAGCCGAGGGCTGCGAGACGGAAGGGCCGGGACTTGTGCAGAGAGACCTCGAGCCCGAGCCCCAGCGGGCCCCTCCTGCTCCGCAAAGCGGGGATCGCATCTCCTTGGCGGAGCTGGAGGCGCTGGCACCCGAGGCTCCGGGGACGCGTTGTCTGTGTCTGAATCCTCGCCCGGACGCGTCCTCCGCCGCTGCGCGCGCGGCGCACCCGGGTCCAGGCACCCGCACTCGGGCCGTCCACGCAGGGGGTGCACGAGGGGCCACACCGCGGGGCTGGGGCCCCCCAGAGCCTGCCTCCCCGACACCGACTCCCACCTTTGGCCGCCCAAGCCGGACGGGAAGCCGGGGAAGGGCAGGCGGCCCGCGGCCTGAGCTGGTCCAGGAAGGGGCGGGCCGCCCGCTGCCACCGCGGCGCTCTAAGGCCTTGGCGCGCTGACCACCTTCCAGGCCCTGCCTCCTCGCCCCGACACAAGCGGGCGCCTCCCTCTGCCGCCAGGCCTTGGTTTACCCGTTTTAAGGCAGTTACCAGGGTTACCGGGCAAATACGTGCCGGATTGGGGCCTATGGAAAAGCCTTTTCGGATTAAGGCGTGTGCATCCTTAAAACATCCTTCTACTGAAAGCGCTTCTGACCTGAGTTTGTCTTTTCTCCTCCTCCTTTCCTGCTACAGAACACTTGTTGAACTTTGCCTTCAGTTCAGTTGCTTAATCGTGACCGACTCTTTGCAACCCCATGGACATTATTAGCACACCAGGCCTCCCTGCCCATCCCCTGTACATTCTTGGACTTTGGAAATGACCTTGACCCAGGACCCGGGCCAGCGCAGAGCCTTGAATAGTAAAAGTCTCCTTTTCCCATTAAAAAAAAAAAAAAAGCAGGACCCGTCAATACAGTGTGTGTATATATACATATATATATACAACTCTTTGTGACACCATAGACTAGCCCACCAGGCTCCTCAATCCATGGGATTCTCCAGGCAAGAATACTGGAGTGGGTTGCCATTCCCTTCTCCTGAGGATCTTCCCAACCCAGGGATCAAGCCCAAGTCTCGTGCATTACAGGCGGACTCTTTACCATTGAGCCACCATGGGTGAAAGCCCCTATATACTTGGCTCTAAAATGTCTCCGTTTCAAAGGACTGAAATTGTAGTTTCTGTTCTCTAATTACAAAAGAACTAAACTAGATAACAAAGATAGCTGAAAGACCCCAAATATTTGGAAAGTAAATATTTACTAAATAAATTATAGAGTTGGACACAACTGAGCGACAGAACTGAAGAAATCACAAGGAAAAGTAGAAAATTGAATGATCATAAGAACCCAGCTTATCAAAATTTATGAGATGTTGCTAAAGCAATGCTTGAAAAGAAATCAATAACCTTAAATGCTTACATTTAGAAAAAACAGCTTAAAACTTTTGGTCTAATCTTCCCTCCTAAAAAGCTAGAAAAAGAACAAATTGAACCCAAAGTTAAGAAAAGGAAATAAAGAGTAGAAATGAAACAGAAGAGAAACGTATAGGGAAAAAAAAAAAAAATCAATGAAACTAAAAGTTGGGTCTTGGAAAATGTTAATACAATTAATAAACATTTAGATTAACTGATCAAAAAATTCATTTAAATATCAAGAAAGAAAATTATAGCACAATATCCTTCATGAAAATAAGAATTTTACAGCTAATATCAAGCCAAATCCAATGATATATAAAAGGTGATGCATCATGACTCTATGGGGCTATTGCAGGAGTATGATATTGCTATAACATTTTTTAATCAATGTAATTTTATCACATTAATAACTAAGAATTATCTCTAGAGTTATAGGCAAAAACATCTGGTAAAAACTGAACCCACATTTATGGCAAAACTTTCATCAAACTAGGAATTGAAGGAAATTCTTCTATCTGGTAAAGGCAGTATGAAAAATATTTCCAGTAACATTATACTTATGAATGAGAGACCAAACTCAATCCTGTTAAGATTGAGAACAAGGCAAGTATGTTCTTACTGTTTTATTCAACTCTGTTCTTGAGGTCTAGGCCATGAAATTAGAACAGAAAAATAAGAGACATAAATATTGAAAAGAAGGAAAATCATCTCTTCTGGTCCCATGAGTCCCCTCATGCAGCCAATGAATTCTTTTCCTGTGTCTACTAGTCAAGTTTATTTCTAAAGAAACTTGCCTGGTGTCAAAAAGTCTTGAAGAGTCAGGATTTGTTGGTGGGTTGCAAAGCTGCCCAAGAGAGTGAGGATGATCCCAAACCCAAGTGACTGATCAAAGCCATCAGTGGCTGCTAATAATTCTTCCAACATCTATAAAATGGTGGTAGTCCCCACTCTGCCCATTTTACTGCTCCGATGCTTAGACTGAAGCTCAGATGTGCAAAGGCTTTGCAGAGAAATGCTCAGGAGGTATGATCTGATGAGCTGGAAACCCTAGACATGAAAATGAAAGACTTCAGACTTGTCACCAGAGATTAATTTTAAAAGCCTTTCAAAAAGGCAAAAATGGAAAGAACTCACATTTGGAACCAGAAACATTTGAAACTATACTCTCAACCGGCCACGTAGCCACACATGTGTAAGGTGGGTGTGATCGGGTAAGGATCCTATGGGACACTGCATCCAACACCTAGAAAATGCTCTGCCAATTAGGGATCATGATTTCCCTTCCTTTCTGGCCTGTTCTAGAAAGTATTCTTCACATATAACCTGCTTTACTATTTCAAAACTGAATTTAATATTTAATTTAAATTTAATTAATAATTAAGTTTAAAAATCATCTAGCTCCCAAAAGGTCATATGAAGAATGTGGAATAAAACAGGCCTGCAATTTAAAGAATGTGGAATTTATTAGATACAGAATATAAAAATTAACCCACCTAAATAGGGACCCAGAGAGCTCACTTTATTCCTCCACAAGGCTTTCTCACCAGAATCCCCGTAAAAACATTTTGCACACATGCAATGACTCGTAGAGACTAAGAAGATGTAAAGCTTCCAAAGTGACAGATGCTTAAGGGGGCTGATGGTGAGGTCAAACCCACTCATGCCTGGAGGAGCCCACTGTTTGTTTGGTCACAGCTCCAGGCTAGCACCCAGCCTTCCAGATCCGAGGCTGACATCAGGACTTCCTGAGAACGGGACTGGCTGGAGTCTCTGGCTGGGAGGTAGACACTTCCTCCTTCATTGCATCCTCCAGTTGCTTCACTCTATGCTCCTGCTCCTGCTCCACTAGCACCTGCTGGAACCGACGCATGGCTAGAGGGTCCAAATGGAGACAGAAATACTTAGCGGGTGTGCACATGGGCCCCAGGTACTTGCAGGTCCTAGTAGACCACCACAGAATCTTTGGTTCAGGGGTGCTGAACTTGAGCCTTCCCTTTTGGGGGATAGATTTCCAAGTCTTCCTGCCACATTCCCCATGGCTCTTTCTGGCTTTACTGTCACAGTCCCTGCCTGCCAGATTACCTTCGTGACTCAAGATCAAATCCTGTCACCTAGCTTATAGCCTTGGCCCCATTATTTTCTGTCTGCCTCTCGTGGCCTTTCACTCAGTCTATTTTCTACATTAACCCAAAAGATACATAACATAAATATTCATTGCTATGTTCCCAGCAGGT